CATTGCCCAACAATACTGGCACTTCTAGATCATTAAACAATCCCATTCTCCATTTTCCAGTGAAGTTCTTATATTCTATTGGGATTTCAGCCACTGACACTTCGAACACAGGGCCATAAATTCCTCTCAGCTTGTACTTTTGGCCTGGAAGTATCTGGTCTGCCTTGACAAACTCTGGCCTAATGAGCGATACTTCAGACCCAGTGTCTCTGAATCCCATTAGTTCTTGACCCTTTACTTTGATCACCCTCAAATAATCTCCATTTGACTCTTTCTCAGTACTCCATACACGCATTATCTTCACAGGCTCTTCCTGTGCATGTGGAGACTGACTGTGGAGATATTTGCCTAACCACCTTAACTGGCTTTGGTGGTGTAACTGGCCTTTTCTGGGTGTTTAATTTGGGGCAAGCCGTTTTCTTATGACCCTCTTGATGGCAGAAGTAGCAGACAAGTTTTCCTGTGGCAATCTCTGGAATGCGGTCCCTCCTGACAGGATTTTGGTTTCCTACGTCAGTTTTCTCTTTTGGAACCCATTCCCTCGGTCTCTTGGTGGCTCCTTAGCCATGACTCACATTCCAGTCATGCTCCATCTCATCCAACCAAGCCGCGAGATCTGACACTTGTTTAATCTTCTTGTCCTTAACAAACCACCTCATTTGAATGGGAATCAGTCTATAAAACTGCTCCATACAAACTAAGTGTTTTAACTCCTCAAAAGTGGTCGTTTTACTCCCTTCCAGCCATCTATCTAAGGCTTTTTCCATTCGGCTTCCCAGTTGTGAAAAGGTTTCTCCTGGCTTCCTTTTGATCTCCCTGAACATCTTTCTACTTTGTTCAGGAGTCAAGCCAAACCTCAGCTTCACCCTTTCCTTAAATATGAGGTAATTCCCGCTCTCTGTCTCTCGCAGATCAGCATAAACCTCATTAAGTTCCCCACAAAGCAGGGGTCTCAGGTACACCATCATTTTATCTTCCGGTACCTCAAAATCATGAGCAGCCCATTCAAAGGTAGCCAGAAATGACTCAACGCAGTCCCCTTTTACATAACGGGGAAAGTTCTTTAACACCCTTTGCATGTTAGAGTCTTGCTGTTGGCTTAAGTTAGGAGTTCTCTCATGTTCTCTAAATTGTAGTTCTGCCATTCTCTCTTCATGTCTTAAACGTTCTCTTTCTCTTTCTATCTCAACTTGTATTCTCTCCCTCTCCAACTCAGCCATCCTTTCTCTCTGCCTCTCTTCAGCTTGCATTCTTTCTCTTTCAATTTCAATCATTCTTTCCTTCTCTCTTTCTTCAGCTTGTCTTTTTTCTCTTTCTCTTTCAGCCTGAAACTTTTCCCTTTCCAATTCAATCATTCTTTCCCTCTCCCTTTCTTGAAACTCAAGTTCTCTCAACCTCATTTCCAGCCTAAGCTTTTCAATGGTCAAAGAGGTAGCTATCTGTTCTTGTCTACCCTCTGGTATTTGGGTCTCAGTTCCCTCAACTATAGAAGCAGTAGTTTCCCCTTCTCTCTCTGGATCTTCAGGAGGGCCTTTCTTTGACTTCGGTGGTGCCATGGCCTAATGTGTTGTAAAATGGCGCTAGAGGTGTTCTCTCTCTGAGGTAATTCTTGGTGTCACGTTTTGACAAAATTTTACCTCAGGATTTACACAAAAATGCCCTGGATTGAGATGTTACACGAATCCACACCGCTGCAAACCAATTATAATAACTCAAAAGTCTGGCAGGGGGGTCAAAGAATCCCACCACTGTCCCTCCTTCAATAAGGAATTCACACCACTTTGGCTCTTATAGTGTTTGAGGGGATGTCTCTTTATTTAAAACCTTCGCTGCCACCATAAACTGAAGAATCACGAACCCTCTAGCTATTTAGAATGCTAAAAGGCTGTTTAAATTATTAAAAGGCTTTTTTACTCCACCAAATACTGTATATTATCAAGGGCTTTCTTTGAGGGGAAACAGGAGAGGTTGTTTCAATAAGGAAAAGGATTCAAAACCAAAAATGGCACTTGACTCAGGCTTTAAGTTTAAAAAATAACAAGAAAGAGTTTATTGAAATACAAGTTATAGATTTACAAGTGAATGCAGGTTCAGAGGCTTGGTGGTTACAGATAAAAGTGTTCTTGTTTCTTATAAGCGTATTGGTTACTTGAGAGAATGTTCTTTTCTTAGTTACAATTGCTTAAACACAAAACCCAGCTATTTTCTTTCTCAAAATAGCTGTAACTCAGTCTGCCACAGCCTACTGTGCTGTGCAAACTACAGGCAAGCTGCCTATTCTTAATCAGAGACTCCTAAACAATCCAACTCCTATTCTAATCTCTCTCAGAACTAAAACTGCTCTCTACACTACTCAGAACTCAGCTGTACTAAAAACTAACACTGTCAAAACTATCTGTTCTCTTTCCCTCCATCTGGCTAACTCCGCCCCTATTTCCTAAACCAATCCTGGCTGTTGCTGGGCTGGCACAGGCCTCGGCCACTCCCCCCTTCTGAACTGGAGCTTTTCCCTAAACTAAGATGGCTCCAGCAGCTCTCTGCCAGGCCTTCTAACTGAACTACCTAGCCTGTCTTTTCCTGGGCCCTGCCACCCTGGCTGGCAAGGTAAGAGACCACTTAGCTAAACAAAATATTTGCTGGCTTATCTGGTCTGACACGGAAACTGTGTATCTCTTTGCAATGGATTATAGTGATTGCCTGGGCTGGGAATGGCTAGGGGGATTTGGTTTCTAGGAAATGCTTTAGCGGGGTTCAGAAAGGTGAAGATCTCTGGGCTTTGCCTTGCTACATTTTATTAAGGAATGTATACATTTTATATGACGCAATAGATAGAATATATAAAGGTACAAATTAAGCAGAAGGTTAGAAGGAAGCAATACATTTTATTAAAGGGTTGTAGGGAAGCCGCTGCCACCGGTCCGCTCCCAATCTCCAATGCTTCGGAATAGCGAAAGTTCAAAAAAGTCCCAGAAAATAACAATAACATAATATATTTGTTGTAAAGTCCTTGGCAAACTATAAATGTATATATTTATCTGGGGGGGGGGTTATCATGGTTTAACAACATTATAATTTCATGAAGGATAATGCCATAACTTTGTATCACAAGAGATATAATTCAAACAGACAGGAGGGCCAAGCAAACCCATAATGAAGACTATCTTCAAGAGTGCTGTTTGGCACAGACCATCCCATGCTTGACCCACAAGGTGTTTTCTTTTTTACTTCACAGACTAGAGTTTTTAGCAGTGAGAGATTGACAGAGGATGCATAGATAAGACATCTTTAGCACCTACAATCGAGACAGTGGACTATGCTTGCCTCCATCTGCCAAACTGTGCAGATTTCTCTAGCAAGTGGAAAATAGTCCCCATATTTGTTTATTTATTTATTTGCTGTATTTTTATACCGCCCTTCTCAACCCCGAAGGGGACTTATATAGTACCATATCGTACCATATTGTACCATATTGTACCATACCATACCATACCAAACCATACCATACCAGACCAGACCAGACCAGACCAGACCAGACCAGGCAGAAATTGGAAAAATGATTTGCTTTTGCTAATACTCCCATAGTCCTATAGATAGTAAGACTAGTGGCCTGCTGACTGTAGAATACTAGGTGCTGTAATTAAAAAAAAGCAACTTTCCTAAACCTTGAATTCTGGTGATATAAAACCATCTCCTTCTTGTTGAATGACTGATTGTGATATTCTCTGTGGCACACATAGAATATGAAGGTAGTTGTAGGATATTCCTCTGCCGTAGAGGTGGGCAAAGTGCAGTTCTGGATTGCAAATGGCCCCCAAGCTTCTTTTACCAGCCTTTGACTCCTTCTGATTCTCTGGATTGCTTTTTTCTGGATAGAAAATAAGGCAAATTGCTTTGTTTGAAAGTCTACAGGAGCCACAATTCGTCTTGGAAATAGATTGTAGACTGATTCCTACCCTTCTCTATTCAACATGGGAAACAAAACAAAACACTGGTTTTGTTTGTTTTGTTGCCTTTTTGGCTGTCCATGTAGCCTCCATGAGTGTCCTAAGATAAAAAATTGACCCCAAAACTTGCCAGAGTTACCAACCTCTCAGATATCACCACCTAAAACACTCCACAAATTATCAACATATGGCCCCCGGCTGCGTTTGCCATCTTGTTTGCTTGCCCTCATCAACTTTCTGGGGCAGAGATTCTATTATTTCTGTGTTCCGCACAGTTGCTAGCATTCTGTTGATGCTATAGAATGTCAACGTCTGGATCATCTAACAAGCAGTGATGAAAGGTTCTGCTAGGGCTCCTGCCCTGTTTGCATGCCTAGTGTCCTGTAATGCTAGAACTGAATTTGTTTTGGCAGTGCTACATAATATTTTGATGCTTTTTTTCCATGCTTTTGCTCTTGCTAACAAGCCTTTGTGAAAGTTCTTATCCTCCTGAGAAGTTGCTTTGCTGCTCTTGATGTCTGTTTGTTTGCTTAAAAATGGGGATTTTCTTGGCAGATATTGGCAAACAGAATGGCACGGGTTAAGCAAGGGACTAAAGTAATGAGGGTTCAGTTCTTGCTGGAATTCAGAAAAGTTTTCTGACCACAGTTGACATGACACACAAGTGGCTGCTGCCTTGTCAAACGTGACAATAATTCACTTCTCACAGGAGAAAGAGCAAGAAATGTTTAATGCAAGCGGAAGTGCCTGTGATTGATATGCAGCCCGGATGGCCGCCAAGAAATAACAGTGAATGGGCAAACAATGCAAAGTTTGCTAACTCCAGCAGGGAGGATATGTCTCCTGCTCCCGTGAATGAGGCAATTTGACTATCTGTTGAGCACACATTGGTGAATAGTGTCCCCTTACATACCCTGGCAGAATTAATGTGCTCTTTAGAATAACAGAGCTATTCCCTCTTGTCAAAGTAGGACAACCAGCATATTTGAAACATTAATTATTTGAACATTTATAGTTGCTTCTTATTTATTGTCAGTTGCTTTTCACATCAGCTCATTCAAGCACACAAACAACCCAAAGTGCCTCAGAAGATTTATTATGGAACTGCCTGTGGATTGGAAGAGAATCCTGCAAATGAAACAGACAAAGAGAAATAAAGCACCAGTAATTACCAGTTTAGCACCAGTATGGTATAGTAGTTTGCCTGTTGGACTAAATTTCTGGAAGCCACAGTTCAAATCTCTCAACCATGGAAATCTACTGGATGATCCTAGGCAGGCCATATTTTCTCAGAGGAAGGCAAGGGCAAATTCCCTCTGAACAGAAACTGCAAAAAAGAAAAACAAAACCCTATGGTACATTTCGCTTAGGCTTGCCTTAAGTCAGTAACAACATAAAGACACATAACAACAACAAAATTATCAGTTTGCTTCATGACATAGTTCAAGGTGCATGTTTGGAAGTTCTGACTGCAGATGAGGAAAATGTTTGCCTTTGGGCCACATACAGAAAAAGCTCACCAGAACCCTGGTGAAAAGGTCCTTAAGGCTTAGGCTTGCCTTAAGTCAGTAACAACATAAAGACACACAGCAACAACAAAATTATCAGTTTGCTTCAAGACATAGTTCAAGGTACATGTTTGGAAGTTCTGACTGCAGATAAGGAAAATGTTTGCCTTTGGGCCACATACAGAAAAAGCTCACCAGAACCCTGGTGAAAAGGTCCTTAAGAGTTGGGGACTAGTAATTTGTTGATGGCACTAAATTATAATGAGTCTTAAGGACAAAGTGGATTGCAAAGGGCTTCAAGCTGGGGGAATTGCATTAAAATAGCAAATGAGTGTATAGGACAAGCATACATACATCCTTCCTTCTTCTAGAAGGCTCACTAAAATGGCTATCTTAATCTTTTTGGTGTCTGATGATTTAGTATGTTTCTGATCATTCCTGAGAGGGCCTCGCTACACAGCATTCTTGTGGTCTTGTTCAGCATGGGAAAAGAGGCTTGGAGGGTTAACCACACACCGCATCTCTCCCACACTCAGTCTAGCCATTTAGACCAGGATGGGTACCTTCAGAAGGACAATTTACAAGCCTTGGATCCTAAACAACTCATGAAAGAAAAGAAAATAGAAGGAAACATTCACTGAACACACATAATTTCGTATTCCATTTAAGTGTGATTTTTTCCTCCCCCTCCTTTCTTACCAAGAACATTGGTAAGACCAAGTGAAAAAAGGGAGAGGGGACCTTTGGTACACGTGTTCAATGAGCTACCCTTTACCAACTGCTGTTTTGGACTTTGGGAGGTGTCCATTATATACTCCCCCTTGAAATAGTTTAGTATCGACAGGGCTAGAAGAATGCAACTTTTTTTTTTATTAAATGGAATATGAAAGTTTGGTGAATTACAGTCTCCTGTGGCAGATGCCCACACTTCAGCCAGCCATTATTTTTCGGTATGAACTCAGTAATACCATCTACAGACTCTCTGTACAAAGTTGTCCTTTTCTTTCCATCCTTGTCTACTTTGTTTCAATAGTTTATAAATTTGTTGAGCCAGGGACAATGTGTCCTTGCTTCTGTGAAGGCTGCAAGTGCCTGAAATACATAACATTAATGCCCTTGCCTATTTCATTGTCTTTACAAAAGTGATTAATTCCATTTCCAAGAGCTCAACAGATGCTGTGCATTTGGCAAGATGATCAATCTGGATAGTTTTAGACTGGTGAAAGGACACTGAGCACCTGCCAGCACCTCTCAAATATCTCGTTTTCATTGATGCCAATGATATGCATTAATTATTAAGATGCCCTCTCTTGCAAAGTTCTAGGAAAGCAGAATGTCTTTCTGTTCTACTGACCATGGATCATTTCACACATCATGAAAATTAGTGGTTGCCTGCTAATGGTGTGTGAGCTCTGCTTTTTAAAAGGGAGAGGAGGCCCCCTTTTGAAAGCCTTTTACACATCACTTATGCATGCTATAAAGACTCATGCCTGTAGGTTCATATACAGTTTTAAGAAGACTGTGGCTTCCATAACTTTGGGGAACAGTACAACTGGAATTCATAAATGACATGTGTGCTTATAATTTCTGTAGAAAAGGGAACCAAGATTGTAGACCTATTTAAATATATTGTCGAAGGCTTTCATGGCTGGAATCACTGGGTTGTAGGTTTTTTTTTGGCTATATGGCCATGTTCTAGAGGCATTCTAGAACATGGCCATATAGCCCCAAAAAACCTACAACAACCCAGACCTATTTTAGTTTTCTATGTGATTTGGTCAATAGCTGTTGTAATCCCTTGCTGCTGTCCATGGTTCTGGGCCTGCTGGCTTTTGAAGTTAAACACAGCTGGAGTGTCAATAGTTCTTTTTCCCAGCTATAAAAGTATCTCACTGTGCTTGTGAAAATGGGATGTCTCGCTTTCTTTTCTCTGACATATATAAAAGAGGGAAGGATCTGGAGATGCTCTGGAAACTTTTAGACTGGGTTAAACTGCCCAGTGTAGATGTGCTCCAATTCCACTTACTCACATGCATACTGATATTCCAGATTAACTCTACTATGTCTCTGAATTCTACCTCTGTAGTCAGAGATAACTAAATGAGTCCCTCTTCAGATGACCTTCAGAGAAGTACAAAGTTATATGAGAAGTGCAAGTTTATATAAGAACAAGCCAACCTTAATTTATAAGTTTTCAAACAAATTTTAAGGGCAAGCTCCAAGCTGGTGAAAGGAAGTTTCATTTTAATTGTTTCCAAATGAAAAAATGTTGAAAGCCAAGCTGGGTGAGATTGAACTCTTCATAAAGAAATGCTTAATAGCCATCTCCATGTCTGTCTGTCTGTTTGCCTGTCTTGCACACAGACACATACATGGCAGCATGACAAAATATCTCTCTCCTTCATTGTCACACTACAGAAACCAGAGGAGGCCACACGTTACCTGAAATTCTGTTTGATGTCTAGAGATTGTCAATCTCGTCCATAATGAAACACTTTAGCAAGGTGTTACAAAGGTTTAAATTGCTGCTATTTGTGCTATATTTCTTCAGAGAGAAAGAATATGCCTTTGGTCTTCAGAGAATCCAAGCTTTTTACAAAAAAGTACATTGATTTCTTTCTTTAAAAGAAAGGACTAAGAGAGCTTGATCACTGAACATATCCCTGCAAGGCTATGGAAATCAAGGCACCACATAAAGTATGGATGCAGATTCACCTTTTAGTCTGTGATGTGTTCTTCACTCATTCAGTGAATGAGAATGGGAATAGGTTTTTCTATACACAATATAAGTTTATAAGAGTATATCAAGCTTATCGGAAGTGGAATAACACTTATGAGGGTCATACTGAAAGTAATGTCTGTATGTCATTTTCTCTGAAACCATTAATCCAAATGTGATGCTATTATGCCACCAGATAGAGTAATCCTTACCGCATGACTGACAGAATTTCTGCATTTCTGGACATGACATAACCATGGATCCGAAGCTGAAACAAAGAGAAGTCATTGAGTTCTTGACCAAAGAAGCATATACTGCTGCTAATATCCCAAGAAAGCTCAAAAATATGGTGGAGTGACAATTGGTGAAAGTGAAACAAGACTGAAGACAAAGTTTAATGGAGATGAAACCAGATGAAAGAAGACAAACCGTGTACTGGAAGGCCATTGAAAGCAGTCATTGATTAAAGTAAAAACAGGGCGGGTGGCATGATTTCCATAGACTGGAAGCTTGTTCAGGAACTTGGGTGTGGCCACAGTGCTGTTGAGTAGATTATCCACAACCTTGGATACAGGAAAGGATGACTCAGAGATCGGGAAGCAGTCCACTGAGTGGTAAAACACCACCTCCCCAGAACAAAAAAATTCAAAAGCCAGTGCTCACCACAGAAAATTATGGTGAATATCTTTTGAGATGACAAGGACGTGATTTTGCCTGAGTGTGGGACACAAGTGACCAGCAAATGTTACATTACCACAGAAATCTTGAGAAGCCACCCAAAAGAAAAGAGCATAGACACAGCTGAATGTAATCCAGTTACACCATGATATTTCACAACCCCACACTTCTTTGGCAACATCACAGGTGATCATATAAATGGGATGGTCAGTAGTGCTACACCCACTTTATAGCTCCAATCTGGCTCTCTCAGGCTTTCACTTGTTCAGTTAAATGAAAGAAAACATTAGGGAATAAAACTTCAATAATATAGGCAAAGTGGAAGATGCTATCAAACATTGGACCAGGGAGTGTCCAAGAGAACTTTTCCAAACTGGCTTTGCTTACTGTTTCACAGTTGGCACAAATGCATCACCACTGGTGAAGACTATCTAGAATAACACCATGTTGTAGTCAAAAAGATACTTTACACATGCATGTAGTTGCAGATCTCTCTTGTTAATAAAGAAGTCATGACCCAACCGACATTACTTTCAATACAATCCTCATACTAGCCATTACAAACGACTGGCGCAGTAATCCCAGTGAAGTAGACAATGCATCAAAATAAGAGTTTTATCTATAGAAGGTTCCCTACAAAATGACACATTTCATGCAAGTCATCATCTTCATACACCAAAAATTAGATGATATTAAATGTTCGATATATTCAAAGGCATCGCTGTGTAGATTAACCAAACCTTTAAAATGGAATTCTATGAGTTAGTCATTGTCTACAAGATGAACATCTTTTTTACACACACACACACACTACACAAACTTTTCACAAATAAGGTTGGGGGAATCTCCTTTGAACATGAATAATTATTTTTCCTCATTAGACTAAGAATACTATGTCTTAGTTATCCTGCTTCTGAGATATCCTAAATGGCTATGCCTGAAATAATTCCCATCACATTAAACATGAGAATGATATTGAAAACCATCATTACATGAAGTCCAGCTTTGGACACATATGAAAATTATGAATTCTTAAATTACAAGGAAATAGTTTCTATGCAGAATTCCAGTGAAAGATACCTATCTGACCGCATCTTGGCCTATGAGCCCACGAGGACTTTAAGATCGTCCGGGGAGGCCCTGCTCTCGATCCCACCTGCCTCACAGGCACGCCTGGCGGGGACGAGAGACAGGGCCTTCTCGGTGGTGGCTCCTCGGCTGTGGAACACCCTTCCCGTGGACATCAGACTGGCGCCCTCCCTCATGACATTCCGCAAGAGACTAAAGACGTGGCTGTTCGAGAAGGCGTTCGAACAAGTAGTGCAATAATTGGCAATGACGATAGGAACGGAACAACGGAAAACAATATTGGATTGTGGTTCAACGATGAGACGACTCAAATGACTTTGTTGTAACTGTATTATTGATATTGAGATTGTGGATGTTATTGATGATGATGTTTTTGATACTGCTAGTTGTTGTTAGATTATGTCTTGTAAATTGCACCTTATTTTTACATGTTGTACACCGCTGTGAGTCGCCACTGGGCTGAGAACAGCGGTCTATAAGCACAGTAAATAAAATAAATAAATAAAATGAAAGGAGAGAAATTATGGCCTATTGGGAATATCCAAGTTCCTCACAGAACTTCTTTTAAATAGTTCTGTATCTCAGTATTGTACAACCTCTATACTAGCAGAACCTATGGTTTTACCTACTTACATCTGATAAACATGTCCTTTCTATGAATTTTCTAGGTCCTCCAGACAATTGTATGATATGCTTCTTCTCATAGATCAGTAGTTCTCAGCCTGTGAGTCCCCAGATGTTTTGGCCTTCAACTCCCAGAAATCCTATCAGCTGATAAACTGGTTGGGTTTTCTGGAAGTTGTAGGCCAAAAAACCTGGGGATCCACAGGCTGAGAACCACAGAGGATCCGCCGGGCAATTCTATGGTATGCTGGAGGGTTTAGAAAATTCCATGATAACCTTTCTAAGAATTTTCTAAGGCCTCCAATGAGACTCTATGCTATGGTAACATCTGGCAGAACTAGCTCAATTCAATACAGTTTGCTATTGCCCACAGTTTCTCACAGTTTCCTGTTTCCATGGTAAGTTCAGGAATGTACTCCTATCGAATATGGGGGCTGTACTGTATTAAAATTCTGAGAGTGACTAAACACAAATTATGTCTTCCCACTCAACAGATCTCACCACAGAGTACAGTTTTATTACATCTTCTAAAAAGCAACCAAAAAGATTTTGCCCTTTTAAATTCTAAATTCCATCTATGACTGATTTAGCAAAGGATCTGATTCATTATGTCTTTACTCCACTTACAGCCAGGTGAGCCCTCATAACTCACTGACTGCACATGAGCCTTATTGTTCTTGGTCCTTGCGAACAGTGAGCTGCTTTGAATATAATTTGCTTTGCAAAATATATAGTATATTTGCTATGATGATGAGCAAAATGCAGTGAGCCTGACTCACTTTTTAAAAAAGAAAACTCAACAAGATGTATTTTCAACACGCCAGTCTGGGGTTTGTATATGCATTCATTTCAGATATTACTGTCACACAAACATGGAGACCTGTGATGGCATTTTTACAGTTACTTTTTCAGTTCGGAATGACACTTCAATGCATGAATTATGTATGCAATTTCTACTACACAATCCTTGTACCACCTAACTTAAAATTCACATTATCAACCAGATCCTGTCCCCATAAAACATGATGCTGTATTAAATGTTACAATTTCCACCTCTCACACAACCAGGAGCTGAATATTCATCAAGTCAAAACATTCCATGTATCATTCTAAAAAAAAAACAACAACAACTTTGTTGGTATTTCTGATTAGGATGGCATCTTTCATCTGCCCCATCCTTTCCCCATCCTCTTTCATTGTCAGTACTTCCTCCTAAGATGCAGAAGATTTCAAAACAGGATGAACTTTTAAAGTGTAACCACAATATGTCAAACCAGTCACCCTTTTCTGAATTACTGTATGTGCCCTAGTTACTGAATCAAAGTTATCACCATTTAAATCATATCGGTATCGGGCCAATGTCAGATACTGTGCACGGTTGAATAGATATATCACCTGGAAAATTAAAAGACTGATATAGTACAGCTGCTAACATTTATAAAAGCAATTACACTTGGAACTAAACGGGATAAGACTTCTTGTGATATCCTTGATATATGCTTCCCATGAGGTTCTGCAGCGATGATAGTGAGGTAGGGAGCTATTTGTACATGTAGGTGTAAATTTTTAAAACATTCCTGAGAACTATTCTTGATCAATCAAAGTGATGGACTTTATATCCCCCCCCCCCCGCCACATTTTTTTTTTGTTCAAGAAATAAGCAGTCTACTAGTGCAAGAGGCAACAGTTTGCTGCTGGGTGAGGTGGATTTTCGGTGATGACGTTCTTTTATTTGTTGGTGGTTGGTTCCCTCCATTCTAGCAGGAGACAGTGAATCAACTTTGAGTTATTGTTTGAAATTTGAAGGCACAATTGAAGATGCTGAGCCCATGGAGGGGTAATGTAATTATCTGGAACAGTTCCTTTAAATGTGTTGTTGAAGGTTTTCATGGCCAGAATCACTGGGTTCCTGCAAGTTTTTTGGGCTGTATGTCCATGTTCCAGAAGCATTCTCTCCTGATGTTTCACCTGCATCTATGGCAGGCATCCTCAGAAGTTGTGAGGTCTGAGACCTCACAACCTCTGAGGATGCCTGCCATAGATGTAGGCAAAACATCAGGAGACAATGCTTCTGGAACATGGCCATATAGCCCAAAAAACTTACAGCACTTAGTTCCTTTAAAGTTACAAACTAAAGCCAAAAATGGACTTTCCATTCCACTGGTATGAAACCCTCTAGCTGGCACTGTTTCTTGTATCAAATACCCTCTTAAAGCATCACTGGGGGGACATTAGGCACCACGGTTGGCTTCTCCACAAAGCTGTAAACAAAAGGTATGAAAGTTCTTGTTTAGAAGACCTTCCTCAAAAATAGAATTATGAACCTTACCAGTCTCTTGAATCTCATTGTGAACTGTATGACCAACCAAAGACAGCTTCTTGAATATATGCTGCATGCAGTGTGTCTGATGCTACATGACTCAAAGCAACAACTCTGGGGACTAGGCACAGATTCTTCGCTACCTGTGTTAATGGGAATGCTGATGCCCATTCCAGCTGAAATACATCATATTATCCCTCATTGTCACATCTCTAGCCTGTCTCTATCCAATCTCCAGACCGCATCTGGCCATCTCTCAGCTTACTACTTGCTTATGGTCTGTGTGTTAGATTCTTTTTCTTGCTCTAACAATTCAAATGGATGGACAACCTTTCAGGTATAACAGTGTAATTCATATGAATAACCAGCATGTATAGGAAGAAAATTAGAAAAGCCAAAGCTCAGAATGAGCTCAAGATTGCTAAAGAGGTTAAAAACAATTAAAAGGGATTTTACAGCAGATTACGGTGGTGAAGCAAGTTAAACAGCTGAGCTGCTGAACTTACTGACTGAAAGGTAGGCAGTTCGAATCTGGGGAGCAGAGTGAGCTCCCACTG